ACGACCATGCAATCACGGGGACACATAAATTACTATGACTCCGTTTTTATCCTATTATTTTGGGTCGGTCCAATATATTATCGCGACCAGTGATCAGTTTGTCAATACCAGGCGGCAGCTATTCTCTGTAGTTTCGTATGTTCTTCAATTGTCATTTTTAGGGTTCCGTACCTCATAGGAAAAAACGGAACCCTTATAGGATCGCGTCCGTCCGTCTGTCTATCAAGACCCTTTTTCTTAGAAATACGTGAAGCAGTGAAAAAATCAAGCTTCTAAATCGACACAATCAAAAGATACGGCCGTTTATGTTCCATTTATATCGCATATTTTGACATTCGCAAAAGGAATCAAAACCTATAGGGTACTTCCCGTTGACCTAGAATAATGAAATTTGGCAAGAAGCAATGCCATGTAGCACAAGTAAAGGAAAAAATCCGAAAACCGTAAATTTGTAGATATTTAAAACAAAAAAAAAACTTGATGATTTTGTACGCAACCGTCGTTGCGCGAGTCCGACTCGCACTTGGCCGGCTTTTTTTAAGTGACTTGAGTCGTTACATAAGTTTCATTCTCATTCAAATTTGAAGGAAACAGTTACATTAATATTTATAAAAATTATATTGTACTTTTTTTTTACCACTGAGGTGGCAAACAAGCGTACGGTCCACCTGATGGTAAGTGGTTACCGTAGCCTATGAACACCTGCAATACCAGAGGTATTACGCGCGCGTTGCCGACCCTGAAGAAACGTCTTTACCCCCCTTTTGAAGAACCCCATGCTGTAGTTTCTTGGAAAAACCTCGGCTATTTATTTTTTTTTGTTATGTACTATTTATTTCTTTATTAAACTTTAATACACCTAGATCGTGTAAATGGTGGAATTAACACCATATGGCGTTATCTGCCAGTCGACTGTAGACAGGAATAACGGAAAATTTAATTGACGGCGAAACGTAATAAACTAAGTTAAAACTACTATTTACTGATTTACTACACTGATAAATATTAGTGGATAGGGTGAAATAAAGCCTCTCCCTTGCGGGGTTATGCCAGTAGTTGCCACTCTTGGCAGGTGGGTTGTCAACCGCAGTTAGGCTGTATGTATGTGTGTATGGTGAAACATACTAAGCATTAAAAAACAAATTGTAACATTTTATTACGTAACTACCATCATCATCATCATCATCATACCAGCCTTTAACTGTCCACTGCTGAACATAAACCTAACCCTTGGGGGGTTTAGCCAGTAGTTGCCACGCTTGACAGGTAGGTTGGCAACTGCAGTTAGGCTTTAGAGATGTTTTAAGAGGGACGCTGCTGCCCATCCCTCGCCCTTCCTTAATCGCCTCTTACGATACCCACAGGAAAGGAAGGGGTGGTCCATTCTATGCCGGGACCACACGGCATTATGCCTTATTACTGGCAAATATTTTTTTTTTAATTAAAATCATATCTCCTATCTTAAAGAGAGGAGATAGCAAACTAAATTGACTAATTATTATTAAGATTGGTGACGTAATCTCGCAAATTCTGAACCGGTTTTGACAGTTCTTTTTGCAATAGATTTACTCACATAATGGTCACATTTTACAAATAATTTCGTTACGATTGAAGCTGTTATTTACATTTTTGTTTATATAATCGTCAATAATCATATACTTAGATAGATAGATACTCTTTATTGTTTCCTCCAAAACATTACAATAGAAAACTTATTATAAATATAAACAATTACAGTGAATCCTTTCAATGTTGCTCAGCGTCCCTGTTAATCAATCATCAAACCCTAACTGCGATTGCCGACCCGCTTGCCAAGCGCGGCAACTACTGGCAAAACTCTCCTTATGGAGAAGGCCTATGTTCAGCAGCTGACAGCTAATGACTGGTCCTTCCTGTTACTACCATTACTACCGTTAAAAAAATCTGAATCAAAGTAATTTGACTACACGTAGATTTTGAAATTTTTATTTCTACAGTCTTTAGCAGATAGACACTAGAGGAGGTAAGGGATTATTAGTAATGGGGTCTGATTTCCCTATAACTAGCAATACACCCTATCAGGTCGATCTCCACGCGGTTCCCCATGGAAACTATCGCGTTTAATTCTAGTGGAATTCGTCACGATTGGCTAACTGACCTACTTTTTCATCCCTCACTGATTTTTTTATACAACGTAGAATGGCAAGCTGACGGCCCACCTGATGGAAAGTGGTAACTGTCGCCTATAGGCATAAGCAGTACCATGGACATAATAGAGTATGCTGTTTCGCCCATTATACCCCCAATGCGTTGCCATTCTTGAGGACTTAGGTGTTATTCCTCCGTACCCAGTAAATTCACGCCATATTACACCCTTCAAACCTAAACACAGCCATGCAAACACACCTGCTTTACGGTTGAAACACGAATGGGACAGAGGTACCCAAGCAATCGACTTTTGTACAAAGTCTCTGGTAAATGCCACTCACGCCCTCACTGATGCCCCACCAGCGTATACCGATAGCGCAAGCTGGGTTACCATTCCATTATCACACATAAAAAAAAGATATACACTCGATTTTACAATATAACGCATAAACAAGGAACCCTACAACTCAATTCAGTGTCGGTCGAAACACCGAATCAATGTCTTTTTGTGATTTTTACAACCCAATATTCGACACCATAAAATCCGAGAGCTGCCTTTAGTTTCATTTTAGTGCGCCATTTGATATTTTTATAACGAAAAAACAATGCCCTCTCTCATTTTGGTTTTTTTAGCTGTATACATTCGTCAAATTACGTCTGATGTTGGAGAGTTCATGCAACGAAATAATAATTATATTTTTTTTTATACCACTAAGGTGGCAAACAAGCTTACGGCCCACCTGATGGTAAGCGGTTAAAAATTAAATTAAATTTTTTCATCTTCATTTCAACCATTATCCGTCCACTGTTGGACACAGGTCTTTTCAGTAGACTGCCATAAGGAACAGTCCTGAGCCACATGCTTCCACTGACTCCCTGCAATGCAGTTCATATCGTCACTCCGTATACTGGGGGATCGTGTCCACACTGCGCTTGTTCGTACGTGATCGCCATTCAAGAAGCTTTCTTCCCCATTGGTTGTCTGAACCACCACCACTTTGCTTATCCTTTGGGCTATGTCGGTCATTTTTTTGATGGGTGAAAACGGTATGGTAACCCCGCCTGCGCTAACGGGATACGCTGGCGGAGCACCAGTGAAGGGTGATAGATGAGAATGAATACAGGCCAGTTAGCCCATCATGATGAATTCATCAGGAATTAACCTTGATAATTTCCAGGGAGAACCGCGAGGAGGTCGACCTGGTTGGGTATATTATTAGCAATGGGATTCTGTCTCCATTACTAACAATCCCTTTTCCCCCGGGCTATGTCGGTTACTTTGGTTCTTTTGCGGATATCCTCGTTTCGGATCCTATCACACAAAGAAACTCTGAACATAGCCCTCTCCATAGCCCGCTGATTAATTTTACTAATATTAAATTACCGTCTCTTCACACATTTTAGCAAATAAGCCGACAGCCCATCTAATGGAAAGTGGTAATCTATAGACACGAACAGAATCATGGACGACACAGAAGGTACTGTGACATCCACGGTACATCTACTTTTAGCTTCTCTCTCTCTCTCGCTTTCTGTAGCCTGTAATTTCACTGCTATATCCCACATTTGAAATGAAAACAGCCACGCTACCGAGCGACAGAACTACGACAGGGGCAGATGTATCCACTCAACAACTTGTATAATTTCTTCTTTTGGACATAAACAAAATAGCTGATGAGAAAAACTAGAACTTGTATGTTAAAATTAAATCGGCGCTTCTTCTTTCTTTTTCTTCATTTTTGATACTTATATATGTATATTAGTACCTTGGATTTTGTTGCTAAATGTCATGTATTTCTATGGGACTTCATAAATCTCTATGTTTTTAAAATACTGTTATTGGCGCTGTTAGGTCTATTGTTCTAAAACTGTAATGTATATTGTTGTTAATTATTTTGTAAATGACTGTTTTTTGCCATAAATAAATAAAATAAAAATAAATAAATAGAAGATATAATATTTAGTGGATTCCATTGATTACGACCTTGGTTGTAGCGACCATATGCCTATAGCGACGTTAAATCTAAGTCCATTGAATTTAAAGCATACTTTTGTACAAAATTCATGTGGCTATAGCGAGTTTGGATGTAACGCCGAGTTCGGGTGTAACGACTGGTTTTAATAAATCATTTGTAACAAATTCCTAGAAATCCCATGCAGATATTGCGACCGAAGTTGGCCACTAAAGAGACACCAAGATTTGTTTCGTTCACAAACATTTCTAACCTTTTGTTTACATCCACACAGATGGTCAGCAAGTATAGAGACCTTTACCTATTGTTTATAGATATCAGCTTAATAGGTAGGGAAGCGTGTACGTTTCGGAGTTGAATTTATGGTTCAGTTACAAAGTGATATTTTGAGTGGCAACTGAGTTTAGTAAATTCTTGGATAAGTATGACTGTCTCGACGCACATTCACTGTTAAAGAAAAGGCAGAAATCATTTCTTAATTGAAAGACGGTGAAAACAATGCTGATTTGTGCGAAGAAAAAACAACATGTGTACGTGTCTGTATCTCTTTATATTTGCCTGTAACGACTTCCAGATATAACGACGAAAATAGAGTGGTCCCTTCATCGTCGTTATACCCGAAACCCCCTGTATATACATGGGAGGTATCGTGGGCGAAACAGTATACTCTGTTATGTCCATGGTACTGCTCATGTCTATAGGCGACGGTTACCACTTTCCATAAGGTGGACCGTCAGCTTGTTTGCCATTCGAAGTTGTATAAAAAAAAATACTGCTTCTATATATTTCTGTATATAATATATATATATATATATATATATATATATATATATATATATATATCAGGATCAGGACAAGGTGATGATGATGATGACTAAATATTAATTAACAAAACCCACATTACTGAAATATAGCTTTAATCACTTTTAATATTATTTGTATTTACAGCACTTAACACTATAAAGAACTGGATGTTTACAGTACATGTAAATACAGTGAATTGTACAATAAATTGTGTAAAACTAAAGTTGTATAAAATAGCACGTGAAAGAATAATAAAAAAAATCGTCTAAAATATTAAAAACGAGTGTAATTTATTACAAAAAAATGTACTTCGACAAGAACATTACTGCAAAGAGTACACGAATAAAATGAACCATATGCGTCTAGATAGAGTGTCGAAAAAAAAACGCTGACCGTTTATTGACGAGTTGTTTTTCGTACTGAATGTTCAAATATTCAACTTTTGTCAGGCTAAAGTATGAATCGATAACGTAGTAAATATAAATACATACAATGACAGTTCGAATTACAAAAAAGTAGAATAAAAATAATTAAATTCAAACTTAAGCATTTTTGAATAGTTTTTTTTTTTTAACAATTCCATCACTCAATCTCAAAACAATTTCAGTTGAAAAGCAGAACAATTAACAAGAAATTCACCTGTTATTTCTTTCCAACAAAGTTTATTTTTATGAATTTGTGTAAACACAAACTATCCAATAGCATAAAATCATTGCGGTTGCTAACCTGCCTGCTAAGCGTGGTAACTACCGGAACAACCCTCCCCCCCCCCCCAATTATGGTAATATTAAAAATGTTAATTTTAAAAGCCCGCCATTTTTACAACGAGGTTAAACAACTTCTGTCCGTTTATAGGGTGACACTCTATCTATACGTCACCGATCTAAGATAAAAAAAAAGCACCAGCTTCTAAAATGGGAACCGTTAACTTATTTAATACAACAACTAACAGTAACAAAAGCACTAAAATCGTTAGGAACCATTCAAATATTATGAAACATAGAATTGCTTGCAATATGCCGTTCACGTCAGTTGAATTAGAGAATGTTGAAAACAGTCTCGTGTTATTTAAACTAAAATGACATTAACTTAGATTAAGCAAAGTTAAAATATTTTAGTCAACGATATAAGGACTTAGACAAGATATTGTTACAAACAAGCGAAAACACTATTGTATAAAAATAAAAAAAAACCCGATATATCAAATAAATAACCTTTAGATTGCTTTGTAGCAGTTGCCGTCCCCATAGCGTCCAAATCAGGAATTTTAAATTGGACTTAGTTTTAAAAAGAACTCTTTTACATTTGCTTACTCTGTCATATTTTTTATCTAATATTAGAGTGTATTGTACTGTATAAATAAAAAAATATATATTTCTGACTATGACAATACATTTTTAAATAATATAAACTTGTATTCTATGTTCTATTACTTTTATTGTTACTGTATTAACGCAATAAACTGTTAAATAAACGAAAATAAAAAAGCAAAGACAGCTATGGACGCTAATGGGTGCGACAACCGAATGAGGCGATTAAAAGATTAAACAATAATAAAAGATACTAATGTTAATTAATACATTTTGAACTATTAACACCCTTGTGTTATCTAATACGGATATAAATATTAATATATGTTAAACATACTTAAGTATTTCCGACAGAACACACTGATAGTTCGCATCTATTAAACTAGTTTAGATTAATAACTTTTTGTCAATGAAAATGGTTATTTTCGTTGATCTATATTAGGTCCTACCAACAATAATATCTTTCTGAAGTCCCTAATCAAATATACACACCAAAGTAATATCGATGCATGTCACCTACATTTTTATCAAGCAGTTTTTCTTTATAAGTATTTCAAAATATTTAAACTAAGGATAGAGAGGCACAAGATCTTATCAGAAATGGTGAGAATATAAGGTATTACAATGTATAATACCCTGTGATATTTATACTTCTAGACAGTTTTTTGCATATAAACAACAATTGCATCAAGCCATTTTGTTTGCCATTACAATATATATAAAAAGGAAATAAAAACTATTGTTTCGTTTCAAACTGTTAAATTATAAATCGACTACCCGCGTCTATTTAAATTATATGTGACATGTATAGATATTAACTTGTAAACATTTTTCTACTAAACCGATAACAAACGCTTTAAACTAACTATTGACCTGATCAATAGTTAAAAGCGACTAACAATCACAATCAGTCTTCCAAATATAGATATTCTACTGTTAGTGAAATCATTCTAGCAAATCTATTGATAATTGGAATCCATATTGTAAAAACGGGAATGTAAGACGAGAAAACTGTTAATTTAGAATAATCAGTCTTGGAAGTGGATGAAAATTATGCTGCTCGAACTAGCAACAGAAATAGTTCAAATAACGTTCCCTCTTAGCCAATAATTACGACGAAGAATAAATACTTAAATAATAAAATTAAACCATTGATTAAGAAATCCGGATGTCCTCAACGTCATAATATTTATTACAATAAACACTTAAATACTCTTAAAATGGTCCATAGGATTTTAATTGTACGCAAAGGTAAAAAACCTAGCACGAACGATATTTACACGAGCACCGCAAAAAAATAATCGTATCACTTCATACGATCGGTTTGTTCTCAATTATATCACTTTTGTGTCGAAATCACTTTAGCACTTGGCACTTTGGTACATAATTTTCAGTTAATCACTCAATTGCTAAACTTCCGTGCCGTCTTCGCCCTCGTCTTCTAAAAGTGTTTCGTTGGGGTTCACTTCTGTGCTAAGTTTTTTCTTGGGCTTCGGGGGAGGCCTTGGTGGGATTTTGCCACTTCTACCGAGCGTTCCAGACTGGTTCAGAGACACGCCACTTTCGTTTTTCCTCGTGTCATCTTTCGATGGAGATTTTATCTCCTCATTTTCTGTTTTAGGATTCCTTCTCAAAGATCCTGTCTCTGGTTTATTACCCTTCCGGCTCAACGTACTAATATCGGATACCTGCGACTGGCTATCCATGCTTTTAGTGTCTGGGTAGTTGAAAAGTGCTTTCTTAGAATCTGGCTGTGGAGTGGAAGTATTTTTCGTTGTCCAACTCATCCGTGGACTCATTGGTTCTTGTGGACCTGGTGTAGAAGACAGCTGTGAGGACATGCTATTCCTTACATTAGTTCCATAGTGAGCAGGAACAGGAGATGGAGACGGTTCTAGTTCTTCAATAGGAGCACAATATGCTGGGTGTGGGGGTTGATAAGATGTTGGTGTCGCTGGCAAAGGACGATTTCTCATTGGAGAAAACTGTGCTTCTAATCCTGTTTTATTTAGAGAGAGAACCGAACTACCGTCTGCAGTCGTCCTTAATCCCAAATTATCATACAATGGCTCTTGAGCTTCGGCGCTTGGTAGGATTTGGGTACTTGCTGTACTAGACCAACTTGGTACTCTAGGTCGCCTCGGAATTGTTACATATCCTTGTCTTGGCGTAACAACAGGTGGAGTTATTGGAGCCGTGAAGGGCGATTGCGAACGAGAGTATGGTAAAGTCCTAAAGAGATTTTGATTGGTTGTCATGCCGTAGATTGGCGAATGTATTGGACTGACTGGATTTATTTGCGGAGGTAATCTTGTAGTATCGGGTACTGTAGATGCATTGCTCGCTGCTGGAGAAATCTGGGCAGCTCTCGGCGGGAAAGATAACAAGTCTGGAGGATAAGCTCGGCCATTTGTTCGTTCATACTCTACGTCTAGAGCGTCGTGTGATCGTTTGGTTATATGTTCAAATCCAAGCGACCGTTTCTCGTCATCATTGTGTGCTGTAATAAAAAAATATATATATATTTATTACTTTATTCAATATAGTTACAATTCAAGGAGTACATTTTTTATACATACTAAAATTATTATCAGAACTTTAAAATAAACGTTTCATTGTACAAAGTTGAGTATCATACATAATTGTTTTAAAAGGTATAATAATTTATTAAATTTATTAACACAAAAGATAAGACAATACTATTATATGATGCATTGCATTGTATTGTCTGATTGCCAATGTATTGTATGTGCATCTTATAAGCCGAAATATCTCATTACAATTTATTACTATGATATGCTATTTAAAAGTTATCGTGAACTTACCATATACGAAGTCATTGTCCAGCAATGTTTTGTTTAATTCTGACATCTCTGTGCCACTGGTGATGGACGGTGGTGCGTCATACCTCCTTGGGGGCTTCGTCACTGGATTCACAGCATTCATTAAACTTTTCTCCATTTCTGGTATAACTGATCCCTCTATCAAAGCTTCTCCGTTAGAGACGTCTGCTTTTTTCTTTTCCGAAACACGCCGTCGGCAGCAGCAATAGCACAGGATGATAAGTATTATCAATAATACAGCTGCTGTAGCAGATGTACCAATTAGAAGTGGGAGCATATTACTGTCCATTCCAGTTGGTGGTATGACATCGGGACTGACATGTGTCACTACAAGAGTTATACTCCTCTCTTCCACACCACCTTGATTTTTAGCAACACATAAATACTCCCCATTGTCTGTAGTACCAGCATCCATAATCGTTAAATTAACCCATTTGCTATTATCACTACTACTTGATACAATATCATATTTTAATTCACCTTGATATCTATAAGATTTGTCGATAATTTGAGCATTCAGCACCCAATTAACTTCTGGCAGTGGATTCCCATTCACTTGGCATGAAAGTGTTATGTTGTTATCAGATGATCTAATGGTAGTACTATTTGAAGGATAAACAATAGTTGGACGACAAGCAAAATCGCCAGTATCCAAATCTTTCCACGTCTTTCCTTGGACTTTTGCTGGTTCATGGCAAGTTATAGGCGAAGTGTACAGATGTTTACTGATGACCCAATTTCTAAATGGCTGCAGATAGCAATCACACCTCCAAGGATTGTCATGAACATTTAAATTTGATAACGTTAAAGAATTCAGTGTATCAACCTTAACATATTCTAATTTATTACCGTCTAATTCCAATGTATTTAATTTCGGGACATTAAAGAATGTTTTTACTCCGATCTGTACAATGCGGTTGTTGCTTAGTTCGACCTTTTGCAAAAACTGCAGATTGCTAAAAAGTCCATCTTCTAATTTTTCTAACTGGTTATCTTTCAATATAATCCACCTGATTTTAGATGTTTCTTTAAACGTATCTGGGTGTAATGTTTTCAGGGAATTCTTAGATAAATCTAATTCAATCATGATTGCCAGTCCACTGAAACCATATCTATGGATTGTTTCCAATTTACAGTCTCTTAAATGAAGCTTTTTTAAATTGATCAGTTGAACATCGTCGAATGCATTGCTCGATATTTCATAGAGCGGGTTGTAACTTAAGTCAAGATTTTGGATGTCTGTGCTTAATGTTCTAGGTATATTTTGAAGATTCGATTGAGAACAGTTAGCTTGCTTGTTACCACTCGCCCAAACACACTTGCAACCCTGCGGGCAATTAGATGTAAAATCAGCTTTCACTCCCATGATGAGACACAGAATGAAGAGTAGATGCAGGACTCTCTTGTCCATTTTTGACTCATGTGCTCTCGAACCTGCAACAATAAAAAAAAGTAACTTGATAAGTGTATTCGAAAGGGGAAGTGCTGTAAAAGCTATTAGTACAACGTGTTCGAAAATAGATGGCGTTATAACACGCGAGGTAGTTTAATGGCAACATTAAGACACGAAATCGTTTTGTGTACTTTAGAAACTGTAAACTTTATAAACGTACGGTATTAACAGATGATATAAAAGTGCTTTTATAAATAAACAGTTGGTGATGGCATAAAAATGAGTTCTGTTTCATTTTAACAGTTATTTTTAGAAGTGTTTTAAATGTATGGTAATGCATAAGTATCTTGCGTGTAATTTATCTTGGGTACGTATGGGTTTGAAGATAAAAGAAATATTAATATGCCACGTGCCAGATGCAAATGTCTGAAAAGATTTAATAAAAAATACATCTTAATTAATTTATTATAGACTTTTAAATTAAACTTTATAAAAATATTAGTTATACAAAACAAATTACCAGTAAAATTATATGCTTCAGTAGTTTTTATTAGTTTTTTAAGTCCCTTTTACATCCAATATAATCCTAATAGGGTGCCATGTTCTGTGAAGGCTTAAGTTATGAAATAAGCTCCCTGCCGAGGTTTTCTAAAAATAACAAGATAAGGCTTCTAAAAAATGGATAAAGCGGTCATCCCAATGGTTTAGAATTTAAATAACAACACGTACACAAAAACTGTCTTTATCTTTTCTTAAGAAATTTTCCCCATTTACTTACACTCTATCCTTTCAAATTTTATCAAGACACATAAATATAAAATAACTACAATAAAACCATAGGTAAAGAAATAAATGGTCTTACTTAGTCTTACATCTACTTCCGAAAGTCTATAACAAAGTTAAACGGCGCCCTTTTGTCTTGAGAGCCTTTTTAAATTTCATTATTATCTTCTAAAAACAAAGTGGGCAGAAGTCAATATAATACTCACAGGTAAAACAAATTTAGCAATTATATTTTTCGGAAATTTAATTTTTTTTTTTTTTACTAAATCAACAAATGAGTTGATTTGACTGTAATTTGATACACAGGTGAACTATATTGTAAATCAAAACACAAGTTGCTTAAATCAGATTTATCGAGAAAAACCAGGGGAAAAGCTAGTAAAGTGTATAAATTATAGTAATTTCTAAATCTTGTCCTATTTATGTTCACATTAAACCTGTTATCCTTCGATCCTGAGGGCTTACCATGAAATATAATCCGAAATTTTGGAGTCGAACAAAATACAAATTTCATGTTAAAATTGCATAATACATACCGTTTAAATATATTTAAAATATTAAATTATCACTCCTTTAGATATTTATAGTAAGATTTATAACGAACGAAATATTAAGCTCTGTTTCGGTATGAACAAAAACAGGAAATTGAGTCCGAAAATTGAGGCTACAGATTCCACTTTAGAGTTTTCATATAGCGTTACTTTAAGAACTTTTTCATTTCGCGTTCTTAGACTCAGCCAACTGACTGTGCGCTGATCTTTGAATCAGTTAGTATCTCCTTTTACATACGACAGTAATTCTGTCTGAAGACAGATAACAATAATCCAGAAGCTATTGTTATTATTGTAATTTACGAAATAACAATGATATGGGATGCTATCCCGAATATTTTCGTCACCAAACAAGAGTTTAATATACGAGAATGTTCTAATGGCGGAGAAATAATTCGCGGAGGCTAAGATAATTACATTCTCACGTAGGAGCGAGAATAAACCCAGCAATTTGGGCAGAAGTGCGTTCCGAGATGTGATCCCTGCCTTATGATTGTGTACGTAGGGTGATGGTCCAACTGAGAGAATTTAGCGGGCACAATAAAGTTTAGTTTATTTGTAATTTATATATACCATATATATATATATACATTGATTAAAAGATGGTTTAACTGGAATAAAATGTAAGTAATAAGTTTTTTTTTTTTATATTTTAATGCTATAATCGCGATGATTTCATTTGCGTGACAAGGATATGTTGATTGGCTGGGATAAAAAGTAGCAATTTTTTTCACTTACAGTAAAAAAATCAAGTAACTAAGAGAATCAACTGTAGGTAGGTTATCATTCTCCTACGCAAAAATATGAGTATTGTTAAGAAGATTACCAAAGCGTGGAATCTATCTTAATCAATTTTCAAAAACAATTGAACAATTTAATACTTTTGTTTGCATATTTAAAAAGTGTGAATAATCAGTTAGAAATATGGAAAACAAAAATACTAGAAAAATTTGGATTTTAATGACAAAAAAGTATCATTTTTCTACGTTTTAGTTAGAGCACTTTTTAAATAACTTTTAATCTTAGCTTTTTACAAACAATTATCCAATTGTTTTTTAAAATTGTCAGACGTTAACGGATCCTCCAAACTTTGCGAAAAAAATACTTAATGTGCCGGTACAGTGCAGCCAACTGTTGAGACAATCCTCTTTTCGGTTACTAGAATTCAGGGACCCTATTCTCATTGTGTTGGCTCAGAATGATGGGATCACATGTTTGTTATTATAAAAAAAGACGTCATATCTCTGTGAGGTTCGGTACGTATGCTCTTAACCTCGTCTGCTTATCGTTTGGGCCAGAAGCTCTTATATACTGAACTGTTATGTCCCGTCCCAAGTACCGTGAAGCAAGTCTCTTTCTTACATCACTAATGGCGTCGTAATTTGTCCCCCACTTATTTTATAAGTTTGTTCAGTGATTTCAGACAAAAAGAAAGCATTGCACGTACAAATGTAAGTGCTAGTTCGGAAATTTATACGCGGTAATAAAGAGTATAAGGGGGGAGGGGGGGAAGGGATTGTTAGTAATGGAGTCCACCAATCAGATTGCTAGCAATACCCTGTCAGGTCGAACTCCCCGTGGTCCCCCCTGGAAACCATCGTGCTGAATGCCAGGTGTATTCATCACGATGGGCTAACTGACCCCTTCCTTATACATGTACGAGGTTTGTCCGGAAAGTACGTATAAAAGTTTTTTAAAAATTTTATTTTACAATTATTCAGGTAAATCAATTTTATCCCCTTCAAAGTACTCCCCCTGTGACATAATGCACTTGTGCCAACGCCGTTTCCACTGTGAGAAGGCACCTTGAAAGTCCTCTGGTTGTAGGTTTCTCAGCTGCCCCGTCGTAGCTTTTTTTATCTCATTTATGTCCCCCAAATGCCGCCCCCGAAGTACCAATTTGGTTTTTGGGAACAAGAAGAAGTCACACGAGGCCAAATCCGGCGAATAGGGGGGTGTTCGGTCACCGTAATGGAATTTTTACTCAAAAACTCACGGACAACAAGAGAGCTGTGGGCAGGGGCATTGTCGTGGTGAAGAATCCAACTCCACTCTCGCGCCAATTCTGGACTAACTCGTGCCACACGAGCTTTGAGGCGTCTGAGCACATCGACGTAGAATTTTCCATCAACTGTCTGGCCTGGAGGGACGAATTCTTGATGGACAATCCCCCGAACATCGAAAAAAACAATCAACATTGTCTTGACATTTGAGCGGGATTTTCTTGATTTTTTTGTTCGTGGTTCCCCGGATGTCTTCCACACTTTGCTTTCACGGCCATTCTTGCCGAGTTTCGAGAGAAACTTGATTACGACGCGCTGCTCTTCAACGGAAGCGGGCTCCATGCCGACGGGGTTTCGTTAAGAGGTAACTTCACAGATGGCGTGACAAGCCAGTTCGCACCGCACGGCGGTCAGACCAGAACTGAAGCATTGTTAGGGACATAAGGAAGGGGTCCTGCGCTTACCTGGCCTCCCCACTCCTCTTTCTCGCATTCCAGAACACTTTTATACGAACTTTCCGGACAGACCTCGTATATTAGACAATCTACTAAGGCACTGTAATATGGCCCTTAGTAGATCTCCCATGTTACACACACATAGAACAACACAGCGTACAATTAACAAATGAATGTAAAGGTTACTCTTTTATTGACCCCTCTTTAGTAAGGAAGTCGCAGCGCAGACGCTATTTAGTATGGATACGCCTTTCATGCTAATATTATAAATGTAATTGTTTGTATGTTTGTTATTCAATCAGGCTTAAACATATGGACAGAATTAAATGTCACTTGGTACATGAGTAGGCTATATATAGCCTAACTTAGCCCATAATATACATACAACATATGATTATGTGGTCCCGGCATAGAATGAGCTATCCTCTCCTTTCCCGTAGGTGTCGTAAGAGGAGACAAAGAGAACTCAAGTATATATATATATATATATATATATATATATATATACTACCTTAACTGTAACAATTTTATTAAGACAAAAACAAAGTACAGCCAAATCCTTATTTAATGATTTGCTACTTTGCGGATCATTAGTTTTCCTTCAAACGACGTGAATTGTCCATTTCCTTTTATTGAGTTGTTTATTTCAAACCAACTGCGGACAAACTAAATACAAACAGGTCCGCAATGAGAAATGTAAGGGAATTTTGTTTATTAGAAGTGGCTGGACTTCAAAACAACTGAACGCATAATATAAATACTCGTATGAGAACTTTATTGCCTGGTTAACACATTTTTCATCAGAGATTTATACGTTTTAAAGATATAATCCAATCCTATTAAACAAATAACGAAAAGGTATTTTTTTTTGTTGTTGTTGTTGTTGTTGCTTGTTTGCCACCTCAGTGGTATAAAAAAAAAAGAAAAGGTAATTCAAGTATTTTTTTTTTATTATTATATAGGGGGTAATAACGTGGGTGTCGTAAAAGGCGACTAAGGGTACTTAATGGTAGAGGGACGGGCAGAAGTGTTCCTCATAAAATATCTCTTAAAGCCTAACTGCGGTTGCCAACCCGTCTGCCAAACGTGGCAACTACTGGCAAACTCCCCCCAATACGGAAAAGTCTATATTTAGCAGTGAACAGTTAATAGTTCATGAGATTATGATGAAATTTTACATACAAACAAAACCTATTTAAACAAAATACGTTCATTGCTACTTTTCATAGCTTTTTAATATAACTACTGT